TCTCCAAATCAATTGTGAGTCATTTTTAACTAGTTTTCTTCAATCATTAACATCTTTTAACATAATTCCAACTTCGAATCAATGATTTTCATGGGGGAAATTGGGTGTTTTGGGTAGAACCTAGTTTTTTCAAAACAATTGGGGATTTGGACCTTGATTTGAGGTCCGATTTCAAAACAAATTACATATTTGAGCTCGTAGGGGAAAGGGTAATCGAGTTTTGGTCCGAACCTCGGGTTTTGACCATGTGGGCCCGGGGGCAATTTTTGACTTTTTGGGTAAAATTTTGGAAAACTCATTTTTATGCATTGGAGTTGATTCATTTAGCGTTTATTGATGTAATTAAGTAATTTGTGACTAGATACGAGTGAATTGGCCGTGAAATCAAGGGGTAAAGCTATAATTGAACCTTGAGTTGTGTTCGTGACATCGAGGTAAGTGTCCGGTCTAACCCTAGCTTGAGGGATTAGGAGTTGTGTCCTATTTGCTAATTGCTTCTTGTTGAGTACGATGTATAGGCATGGTGACAAGTATCTATACGTTGGTGTCGAGCATGACCGTGAGTCTTAAATTGATATTTGTTGTGATCCTAAATGATTCTACGGATGCTTTAATTGATGATTCTCGATATTGGGCAAGGTTTTAATTTATTTTCGTGGAATTTATTTATGACTGAGTATCGTATTAATTGAGTTGAGTAGAAGTTGAGTTAAGTTTGGCTATAGCTGATTCTCCCTTGTCGGGATGTTTGTTTCGATATTGTTGTTTCCTTGCGGGGAAGTTATTATATTGCTTTGCCCTTGCCGGTATTTCCTTGTGCTTTTGTATTGGCTTGAGATGGGAGTGGGTGGTACGCCTACCATAAGTTGTAATGAAATAGGAGTGGGTGGTATGCCTACCACAGGATTTGATGAAATGGGAGCGGTTGGTACGCCTACTACAGGATTTGATGAAATGGGAGCGGGTGGTACGCCTACCACGAGATTTAATGAAGTGGGAGCGGGTAGTACGCCTACCACGAGATTTGAGAAATGGGATCGAGTTGCACGCCTGTAACAAGATGTGAACCGAAAATGAAGCCTGCCATTATTTTCTTTATTCTTGTTAGAAGTAAATTTCGGCTTCTTTATAATTCTCTTGAGATTCTACCTTATCTGTTATTTTCCCGAAGCATGTTTCCCCCTTCCCAGCTTTTATTGCTTGTATCAGTTTATTTCCCGCCATGTATATATAACTACACAGGTTTATCTAGAGTCTGGTCCTAGCCTCGTCACTACCTCGCCGGGGTTAGGCTAGACACTTACCAGCACATGGGGTCGGTTGTGTTGATGCTACACTCTGCACTTATGTGCAGATACCGGAGCAGCGTTTGGCCAGCAGCAGTAGATCGGGAGCCAGCCTTCAGTTCTCCGAGACTCCGAAGTAGCCCTGCAAGCGTCCGTAGGCCCGACATCTCTTCTATCAGTTTTTATGTTCTATTATCATTTGTACTCGAGACTGACTATGTTCTTTTCTTTCAAACACTTATTTGTAGTAATCATAGATAGTCCATGAATGTTGTGATACCAGTTTCTGGGTAGAGGCATATGTGGGGTTTCTTATCATTTTGGTTCGTTTTATCTAAGTCTTCCGCTTAAATCTCATATTCCGCTGTTATTAGTTGTTTATCGCTTGTTAATGTATGTTATAAAAAGGATGAAAACAAAAGAGTTAAGAATTTCTAGGTTTGTGGCTTGCCTAGTTTCTACAAGTAGGCGTCATCACGATTCCCGAGGGCGAGAAATCTGGGTCGTGACACCCATTGACCATATGGAAATAGTAATGGATACTGTAAATGATCATAACATCCATAATAATAATTTACTAATTGTGATCTGTTACTGCTAGTGTAAATTTGAATATAAGGTGCTCGAACAACACTACTACTATTTTCTTCAACCCATATTGCAGCAACTTCTGATGCAGTAGAGAGATTATATAGTCGTTGATCCAAGCTTGCATCATATTTAAGTGCAATATACAAGTTTGGCGGGTTTGGAACATCAGTCAATGAACTTAAAAAAAATAGAATATGGATTATTTCCCAGCAAGTCCATCAGATTTATAACTATACTTTCATCAATCCTATCGCAATAAGTCATTCTGTTTTTAGTTCATTATCATTGTCATAGAAGTATAATCACATATTGCTTTTTGGTTCACAGAAAAAAGATCATCTATGAAATGATACATTTGTCCTTGAACTCTAAAGGTATAACTACCATGATTTCTTCTCGCTAAATCTTTGTCGTAGCTCATGCCAAGTGATGTAAATGCAAAGATATTATTGTATGTTCTAATGTATGTGCGAAAGCGTTAAGATTCCTCAGTATTTGCTAATATAAATTACGCAATTCTATGGGTATTTTGTGTGTAGTTAAGATAACTGAACCATTGCTACAACAAAATATATGAGGTTCAAACTGAAATTTCTTAGCTCGACAGAACTTGCAACGTGAAATTAGTTTTAGTGGGACGTATTCTGATCGCATCTGGCTAATGGTTATGTTGCCTGTTTTATTTATATTTGGACCTGCAACTTCCAAAATGTCAGAATGAATAAAGGAAGGAAAGCTAGATTGGTAAGAAATAATATTGCAAAATACACCAACCTTTATTCTGAATAGTGTAAGAACTCTGATTTTGTTCATTAGTCGTACCAGACGTTGACCCTAGTAGCATATAATTTTAGGATAAATATAAGTAAATATTTTCTTAATTAAACAATGGTAAAAACTTTTTGCATAGAGGATTGTACTTGCCTACTTCAAATATTGAGGATGGGTGGGCAGAATTTTTTGCCCTATCATAGTAGGCTGTCAACATAGTGGCGTGATGCATATTAGCTAATAATTGCAATACAAAATGTGGCTAATGTCAAAGTATAACCAAATAAGCTTGACAAAGTAAGCGTATTTATCAGAAGATATATATGAACATGTAGAAAATTCTACACAAAGGCAGAAAACACATATGCTTAGTATTCTAACCTATTTCAGATGACAATGCAGATGCAGTGGATTTTTTGCTCGTAGTCGGTGTTTTGGTAGTAGAGCATGTTTTTTAGTGGATTCCATTTTGCTTATACTTCTCACGTTGTCTGAAATTCATTTCTGCGTTTCATTCTGCCAAGTAGGAAGAACTGTTTTTGTTCTGAGAATGCATCTGTTTCAATGTAGTTTCTATCTCCAATTATCTGTAGTTGAGGCCAAGTTTGATAAGAATCAATATCCACCACATGGAGAAGAGAGAGTAAATATTCTAAAGTACAAAAATAAGGAAATAACAACAGTAAAATGGAGATATCAATAATCCTATCTTCCTAAATCAATGTTGTTGGAGCAAAATTAGTACCTATAACAAATTGACCCAAATCCGTAGAAAAATTTTGAAATTACAGAGCATGCCTCGCAATTGAAATTTTTAAAGAGGTATTGTTTGGTGAAGCGCAAAAGAAGACCAAATACCCCGAAATAAATTCAAATGCAAACAAGAGGGGAATAAGAGTGGAACATGATGACAGAACGTGAGTATAGTAATCAAGCAGAGCAGAGAAATAAAGAGGGGAAAATAAGTGCATCAATCAGAGAACAATTGTGCTCACCAAAAGGGAAAAAGGTCACAGAGGCACAACAACTAAAACTGAAAGTGAATCGAAGGACATAGACGTAGAAAGAAGAATGAAAGAAAGTTTCTGAGAAAAAATGCAGATGAAAGTTTCATGTTAAATTGCATGAAGATAAGAATACAAAGCCACCGTTTCGTTGGTGAGAAATGTCTTAGTAAGTCCTCATCATAAAGTGTTTCTTATCTTTTTTCAAGGACAAAACTGGCACATAGACAATATAAATATCTATTATAGTTCCACCTGTGCAAATAAAGTCACATGTGCTGGACCATTAATCTCAATTCACCACATAAGCTCTTCAGACAGAAGCA